TAGAGGCATAACATATAGGTCTATTACTTTGTAATAAAACACAACCAATTCCAGTTTTATTAGCATCTGACTGAATTGTTTTCTTCTCATCTGAATTAAATGTATTGAGCACTGGCTTATTTGTGATTATCATTTTTATTTTTTCAAAGCAATCAGTATGAACTTTTTGCCACTCAAAAATAGAATCTTTTTTTAACAGGTCCCTCAATGGAGAAGTAGTATCTGAAGATTGGGAATAAATAATCGCAAATAATTCACCAGTCCAAGAAGTCTTTGTAGGTCATGTTTATTTTTAGGTTGATCATATTCCAATATAGCTTTAATCGAATCAAGGTCTGGAGCAACAGTACCTTCTTTAAATATATGTCCAAGATAACTTACTTCGGTTAACATGTACTGAAATTTATTTATATTATTTATATAGCTAGACCAAACGGTAATCTATAAAATTTATATGTCCCAAAGACCGTAGAAAATGTGCATAACTTAGAACTACTTTCTGTAAGAACAATGTGCCAAAATGAATCTTTTAAATGTAACACTGAGAAAAATTTAGCATGCTTTAGTTTTGCAGATAAGTCTAATAAAATAGGAATTGACAGTAATCTTTGACAATAGCCTCGTTCAGGTCTTTAGTATCTAGGCATAGACGAATGGATCCATCTGTTTTCTCAACAACAACTAAACTGTTGACCCATTCAGAAGGTTCCTCAACTTTGGAAATTATGTCTAATTTAGTCAACTTTTGTAATTCCTGCTGCGTATGGTGGTTTACTCTTAAAGGTAGTTTTGAAGTAGGAATCGATTCCTGTTTAATTTTTATGCAATAAGACTTTTCAATCTTACCTATTCCACAGAACAGATCAGCATTACATTAAATAAAATAACATTAGTTTGCAATAGTTAGAGATTCCACATGCTTTACTAGGTTTAACTTTACACATGTATCACGAGATATTATCGGAACTGAGTGTTCATTACCAGCTACACAAAACATCTCACAACACTTCATATTATTTACTTGGATATTTAATAAAATTGTGCCCTCAACTGCAACTGCTGCAATGTTAGAATATTGCAGCAGTTTCTTGAGCTGTAGTGGTCTTGAAGAACATTGTTGTATTTTATTATACAATGGAGTTGGAAGAACATTAACGTCTGCACCATGATCTAATTTAAATTGTATGTCTAGTCCTTCAACATTAATATCTTGATACCATGCCACTGAATTCACAAATAAGGTTGAGGTGACTGTTCCACAAAAATATTCTACTTCAGTTCCTGCTTTCACTTCATTTACTTGCACTTTATCTAGTGAACGACACATTTAAGCAAAATGATTCTTTTTTTGCATTTTAAACAGGTTTTATTGAAAGCTGGGCAATTGCCATACCTGTGATTATAACCACAATTTGAACATACTTCATGTTTAGTTTGTTCCCTATTTGGAATTTTTCTTTGACCTTGTGATTTATTTAATGAATGAACGACAGTTTTTTGAATATCTTGAATTTGCCTCATAGTTAATTCAGACACTCTCAAGGTAACTCAATAGTATCTTCAAGCGATGGATCACCTTTTTTATGAGTTTTCTTTGACATTCGTTGTCAATTGTGCCAAGAATTAGCTTGGCGCGAATCATGGAATCTTTACAAGATTTACAAAAAATGCAATTATTTGCAAGCAACTTTACATCTGTAACAAAGTTGTCCAGCTGCTGGCCATCCTTCTGATTTCTGTTATAGAATATGTACCGAGAATGGAGAATATTATATTTTGGAATACAGTATTCTTCAAATAAATTTAATAGGGATTCCAAAGTTTTGTCCTTTATTTCAAATGTATTATAAAGATCTAAGGCATCTTCCCCAATATTATTTAAAAGCACTGCGATTTTACGTGCCTCTGGAACTTCTTCTAAGCCACATGCTTGTATGTATAAAACGAATTGCTATTTAAATCATTTCCAATTCTCACCCAAATTCCCAGTTAGAAGTAGTTTCCCCGGTACATTAGATGCAGTCGCCATTTTTAGTTATATTTAAGTTCTAGCTGCGCCATGTTTTATGTGTAATCTGATTAAGAAACACTTTAATAAAGTAAGATTGTTTTGCTATCGTATTCCACTTTTAATAAACTTCTAACTGTTTTGCAATTATCGTCTGTCCGCCATCTTGCTTGTGCCATAGAGTATAACGTAAATGGTTGATAACTATCAACAAACAAATCTAACAAATCATTACACAAACGTATAGTGAATGTGTAGGTATATTTTTAAATGGAATTGATAATGTGAAATAAATATCTTAACCTAATAAAATCAAAGAGTGTAAAAAGATACAAATTAAGGAGGTTATTTAAATAAAAGGACAGATATTAACTACAGAGAGTTCATACATAAAAAAACAATAAAAATATCAAATAATAAAATCTTATAAACCATAACATTATATAACCCTACCTAATCGAACTACTGTAAACTAAGAAACAGTGACTAACAGAAATTATTAACTAAGTATAACCTATTATATTTTTAAAATATTAAAAATCAAAAGTTTATAATACAATTCATTGAATAGTTGAAAAAATTAACAAAGGTAAAGACTCAAAGAAGAGACGGTTTCACTGGGGAGGTAGACAATTAGCATTTAAAACAAAGAAAATAATAATATGGGGAACCTGCACATTGAAATATGAGAATACTAAAACTAATAAAGTAGGGTTCTAAGACTTGCTCAAATATTATATTTGGCAATTGCAGTCAGGTGTTGATATAGGCTCGTAGATGGGCCGCGTAGTTTCGGTTACGTTCTAACGTTCACTCAAATCTTTTGACATTAAATCTTCTATGTCGTCGAAAATATCCCCGACATTTATATTCTGAGAATCAGTCATCTGAACGTTGTTCAGTTGACAATCTGGCGATTGTGATGATCTACTTTCACGCTTCTCTCGTTTTCCTTTTATGCGCCGATTCTGATACCACACTTTAATAACTTTTTCACTGATTTGCAGGTTGTTGCTCAGCAATCGTCGCTCTTGTGGTGAGACGTAAGGTCTTTTACGGAATTGTTCTTCCAACACTGCAATTTGTGAAGTAGTGAACGCCGTCCTTTTTCGTTTTCTTTTGATCAAGGGTTTGTATTCGCCGTCAGCACCATATACAACTAGAAAAAAAAACAGAAAATAAATTAGGGTTAATTGAGATATAATCACACAAACATCACCGATCAATTGTTTGTTGGTTACCTCTAGATGAAGTCGCCGCTGTTGCTATGGCAGATGTTAACATCGACGTAGCTGCGGCCGTCGTATTTAACACCCGCGAAGTAGTCGCTGTCGATGTTTGCGCTGATGTCGAGGCTACTGCTGTAGTCACTCGTGTTTCATGCTGTCCAGCAGTAATTCTTGAATAGGCATCCAGGTGTCTTTTTTTTAAATGAGCTTTTAAGTTACCAGTAGTTCCTTTGTAACTGTAGGTATCGCCGCAAACTCGACATTTGGCCTTTTTGTCGGCAACATTTTCTTTATCAAAATAGTCCCACAGGATACTTGAATTAATACGTGACATCGTAATTAAATGTTCCTTAAATTTTTGGCCGAAAAGCCACAAACACCACACACAGAATTTACTATTTATTTACACTTACTACCTAACTTAAGTACCTACTATATACACTTACTATATTTAATTATTATTGAACGAAAATAAAACGAAAACGAAACTAAACATAAAAAAACCGGAAGATAAATAATACACCAACAATACAAAATAAAACGCTAATGCAATTTAATTGAACGTGTTTGCACATTCGAATCTACGAAATGATAAAAATTCAAATCCGCACCAAATTTCTTTTGCTAGGGTTCAAGGACAGAGGTCAAAGAGAGTAGAAATTAAATTGTGTCAAAGCTCACCATTATTCCCTAAGAAATAAGGTTAACGATTTAATCAACAAAAATATTAACAAAAGTGTATAAACTACTGTCAATGGCTCAAGCGTACGGTCTAAAACTTCAAAGAGAAGCACCTCGAGAGAAGGCTAGGATGACATTTTCATACCCAGGGAATAAAACTGTATCATGCAAAGATGTTGGAGCTTTGGTATCCAATCATGTCGCATTCAGTATAACCATTGTGCTGTACCATCCGACGAACACGCTCGGCAGCATGTTCACAATGACGTGCGTTTTTCCTATCAATAGTCCTTGCATCCATAGCAGATCGCCAGAGAATGATGCTTGAATCCCATAAGCCACCAGAAAGAGAACGGAGAGTTACGCCGATTGCGAAGCTTGATAGCAGGAGCGAGCGCAAAGGACCATAAGTATTCGTCATTGTGTGTTGATAACGTCAAGCCATGGCCTGACCAATCACTGCGGCCAGTGCCACACGTCTTAGTAGTTCCGCAGAGTCATGTGCTATGGAGGATAGCTTAGTGAACATTTTCAACTGAACGGTGACTTTCTCAAGCCACGATTATTATGATAATCCTCCGCCAGCCAGCACGTTCCACGAACAGTCTGACATCTTGAACTGCGGAGAACGTTCAGTGGTCTCGCACGATCTACGGCAGCAGTCAAATCTTTTCAACGGCTGTGGCTACAACGTGCATGATCCGTCTGTACTGCTCTACGTAGCGAACGACATAGGTGACTTGATGGAAAGACGGCAAGTTTGTAGAAAAAGTTTTTGTACTGCTGACTCTAGTAGGCGCTGCAACATGTGTGGCTTGTTTCACAGTACTGACGCATGTCGAGTGGCGCTGCTCACTTGCCACAAACAATGGTGATGTTCTTATCGGGCGCCAACAGCAAAGTGCCTACACATGAAGCAGGAAAGAAAAATAAAAAAAAAACACATTATTAACAATATGTTTTATATCAATATACAAACTAGCGGCATACATTAACATAAGCTTTATACATGTGGCATAATTATTATAATAAATTAAGGCTACTGAAAACATGCAGCTGCGGCGAAAAGACATAAGATCACGCTATGAGAGCATTCCGTAGAGTACGGACTCGTTACGCTGCATTTCGACCCTCTGAGCGTCAACAGATTCTTCCGCAGAAAGTACGTAGCGCCAAGCGCGTTGATCGTTGGAATTATGCCGGTGTTCTTGCAGTACCACCATGTGAATCTCGAAAACGTTCAACCAGCTTGCAACGATATGCGAACAGTAATGATGATAGTGTCCATACGGGCACGCATCTGTTAGAGGCTTTTCAGAGGTTCCCAAACCTCGGCCGTTCTCGTTAGTCGAGTGACACGCGCAGGCAGCGAATCGACCTCCCGACCACTCATTCAAATGTGTGTGCATTTTGACGAAATCCGTTATCTCTGAAATCCCTGCAAATTTTTTCATGTTCGGAAACACGAGCCCGCCAAGAATAGGTATCAAAGAATCCACGTTCATCAGTATGCGATGGGATTTTGGTCTCGTGGGGTCGAAGTTGTACTCCATCATCAGTGGCCTCCCTCTGATGAACATGGTTTCGATCCGGTAAGTAGAGAGCTCCCACAATTTATTCCGAATGGGATCGCTCATGTCGTTATTCGGATAAAGAGACATAATGAATCTATTGTAGTCTTGGAAGCGCATGAAGTCAGCCACGTAGAGGACCATCTTTAAAGAAAAAGCCCTTGGATGTGATTTTGAGTCTGATACTGCTGATGCCGCCGTTTTTCTGGAGATGCGGCGGCGTTTTGATGCCACGTCGTTTCCTTTCGAATGCATTGTAATTAGAAGAGAATGCGGACTTTATAACAATGCAACGTTCGAAAACGTTCTACGTTTCCAGACGTTCATAGGATACTAGGCAATCGAGACTGTCAGTTGCGATATTTATAGTCACGAAGCCTCAGTTTCTCAAATTATATCCGTCTGTTACATTGTTGCAAGATGCACCGCCTAGCCACCGGTTCTCAAAGTTTGATCCGTATAAATATTTCCACATTGAGAGACTCGCATGCATCAAAAAGACTCTCGGGTTTTGAACATAGGAAGAAAACATAAGTCTCACTACTGCGGAGTATTTTTTTTAAACCACCATTTGACGTCGCGATACAATAATATCCCATAGTCGCGGGTAACGCTAGCCCCCACTTTGAGAATCATTGGAAATTCCCGATGATAACGTCGCAAGTCACGCGTGATAACTTGTCTGTATAACCAATATAATACATTTACAGTCAGATTAAGCCGAATGCACCACGTCATATACTTTCGATAACCCGTCTAGATCGATAACGTGCGACTTCAATTCGTCCTATGTTTCATAACTACTGTAAATACACACATCAAAAGTGTCTAGGGATCAACATATATTTTTGCAATAACTTTTCTCCTGATTGATATTAATTAAAATTTTCTTTAAGGATTCATCAAATAAAGTGTTTTCGTTTGTCACAGTAACGATAAACCAAGTCACCTTTGCATTAATAAAGAAATTTGCCATTTTCCTAATAAAGGGATTTTTGACATTTGAACCACTAACACAAAAGTTCGAAAAAAAGACTGAAATAACAGTTTTCTCTAAAATTTTATTGGGTAACTTAAACAATTAATAATCCGTATTTCTACCGCGAACACTAACAACACAAGAACATCGGTTTGGCATACTCAAAATGAGTTCATCCAAATCACGCTGTGGAATGGCCGCCCATGTTCGTTGCAACAACAAAAAAAGGTCTTCTTGCGACTGGATACCCTCCATATTCGGCAGAGCTCTTCTCTGTAGCATATCCCATGCATGCTCAATCGGGTTCAAGTCTGGCGACTGAGCAGGCCAGGGCAGGACATTGATGTTAGCTGCGGCGAGAGTCTGTCTTACAACTCTTGCGGTGTGCGGTCGTGCATTATCATGCATTAACTGAAATAAGGGACCGATTTGCACTTGTAGAGGAACGATGACGTCTGATACAATCGTCTCAGCATAAATTTGAGCGTTGAGGTTGCCTCTGATCCAAATCAACTCAGTTCTTCCGCCGATCCAAATACCCGCCCATACCATGATGGTTCCACCACTATAAGGATGGACTTCCTGGCAGGATTTTAATCGCTGTTGGCGTCCAGGGGTTCTCCAGTGTCGTATACGTCTTGTATCCGGTCTCATACCAAAACGAGACTCATCAGAAAAGCACACGAAACGCCATTGTTCTTCTGCCCAATTTCTGTGTTCAAGAGCCCATTGATATCGAATCCTACGATTGTGCATTGCTATAGGTGGTACCCGTAGCGGTCTTCGGGAATGAAGGTTCACTTCATGCAAGCGGTTTCTGACTGTTTGGTCGCTAATTAAGTTCCCTGAAGAGTGATGAAGCCTCACGGCTAACATCATGGCGGTTATTGTTGGAGCTCTTCGAGTTAAGATTTGAATGTATCGGTCTTGTCTCCGTGTGGTGCAGCGATACCGTCCTCCATGGCGCTCAGCCACGGTACCAGTGCTTCGGTATCGTGTCCAAAGTCGACTGATAACACTCTGACTTGTATTCAGAGCTAAAGCCACAGTACGTTGCCGGGAACCAGCTTCTATCATTCCCACGGCTCTGAGCATTTCTTCCCTGCTTAAATGACGTCGCCGCTCCATAATAACGTTGGTTTTAATCAGTAGTAGGGAAACAGTAGCACTAATAATGTCTTCAATGCGTTGTATGTTTTTATAGGGAAAATATTGACAGCTGATTTTCATCTTTTACTCGAATTTGATTCACAGTTCCTGATTCAAATTATGAAATGCACCAAAAAGGATCCATATAAATTTATAAAATCATAAATTTATTACAAAGCCACATCTCAATCTCAAGAAATCCGCATAAAAATGCTTGATCCCTAGACACTTTTGATGTGTGTATAAATATGTTTCGAGTTTGATCGCTAAGTGACATACTGATAACGGCCGGGCGTAGTGACTGTGTTTACACTGCATATTCCACGCTGTTTTTGCTTAACGCGTGGCCGCGATATCTGTTAGCGGTGACTTTGTCTGCACGCTACAAAGCTGGGATCTATTATCGTGGACATGTAGCTACCTTTACAATCCTACACATTAAGCTGATAAAAGTTTATTTCAATCCTTTTGCAACATTTTTTATGTAAGAGGAACTAAGTGCAAACTCAGAGTAACATTGGAAGACTCATACGCCTTGGTGTTTATTCTCTAGTACTCTTCGAACTTGTTCTACACGTTTTCTATTATTATATAGTGATAAAGGGACACAGGAAGAAAATGAAAATAAACATATTTGCTGTATAATTTTATACTCAAGTGTTCAAACCAGCAAGCCGAGTCGTAAATTACTACTAAATTACAAGTATGACCTATTGACATGCATTTAATCACTGCTTGTACTTCTGACCCGCCGCTTATCGTCCGTCCGCTAAAATGTAATTGCATTACTTAAAAAAGACAAGTAACTTTCCATGTCGTTCTTGTGAGGAGAGTTATTTCCTTCTTAGGCGGCGAGCACAGGCCGCAAAAAAAACTTCAACCAATGACCAACGTGTTGAGAGCAATAATGATGAAAGTGCCCAAACTTGCATTTATCAACTCGGGGCTTTGCGAAGGCTCCAGCCTCGTGGGGGTTGGAATTTTTCAGGTGACATTAACAAGAAGAGTGTCGATAGTCCGAACACCTGTTTAGATGAACGTGCATTCTGACAAAGTTTTCTATCTGTGATACGCTGGTAAACATATTCACCGCTGGCCACGTAATCCTACCGAATATCGGTAATAGAGTTTCAACATTGATAAGGATGATACAGTCTTGATTTTTCCTAAATGGATTGTAGTTAAATTCAATGCTCAAATGTTTTCCGTTGATGAACGGTATTTCAGCAATGTGAGTAGATAATTCCCAGAATCTCGATCGGATAATGTCATCACATTCGTCGTCGTTGGGCCAAACGGTCCTGACCAAACTCCGAAAGTCTTCAAAACGCAGGAACTCACTCAAGCAAAGGCAGAGAATAACCTCCTTTCGTAATAATTTTCTCTGGACGTCAGCTCCGGCGACCGCGGTAAAGCTCGTGACACTTTGCGTTTCCGGGAATTCATTGCGATGATACGAGTCGGTAAACCTTGGCTCCTACTAAAACGGCAAAACGGCGCGTGATCGTAGCCGCGTCCTACACGTTAGACGTTCAAAGCAACAACTGAGAATAGATATGATTGTGCGATTGAGCTAAAATGAATATGGTATAATATCGTCGCCATATATGGTATCGTCGTTGTGTTATCACTTAATAAATAGGGAATTGCTCGAGTGGCGCAACATGTTTTGTATTATTCAGATATGTTTCACCTGGGATTTATATTCCTAGTCATGGGTGCTCGACGTGCTTTTTGACTTTTTGCAAAGAGTCAACATGATGAAATACAAAAACGTGGTGACACTAAAATCATACGATTTTTTTTAACATTCAGCATCGAAACTAACGTGCGGACGTCTCTGGACGTGTGGATGACCAGTATGGGCGTCACATGCATATGGCTTCTATGCCGTGTTGCCCATATCGCTATGCATGGGCCATCACTCCATAAACTTCATTCTGTATTACTCTTGAACCGAAGAGGACTAGACAAACCAGCAACAAGTATGTTCCTAAGAACCTTTGCATTTCTACAAAACTGTGTAGCTTCGCTGAGGTCGTGGGATTATCACTGCTGGAGTAACAAACCCGCCACATGTATTACGTGAGGAAAAGTAAGTTTTAAGTGCCTGCATGTGAACATGAGCAGGCAGGCTTTTCGAAGATGGATCAACGCTATGTAAACTGATTAGGTGATACGGGCGACGCAGGGCGCACTTTGAATCATTCGGTCGTTCTTATCTTCGAAAAAATCAACCTTTACGGCTAACACTCGAAAGACATCGCATTATATACCTTTTTCCTCTGAGTACAAAAATGTCTCCATCACCTAGCTTCGATGCTCCATTTCGAAGTTATGGCCCGTACGCTCACGTGACACTGATTGTATTTTATTACGATGAAAATAAAGTGAAAAATTGCAGTATGCGTTGCATCGTAACTATTGCTGTTTCACTCTCATCTCATCATACGCTCTCCCTCTACTCCCACTTGGCGTTGGTCGCGCTCATATTCCATTGTGATACGGTTCAATATCCTTTAAACAGTCTATATACGATACAGTACTGTCAACGCGTATCGCATTCCCAATGCAATATAATGTTTTGCCAAAATATATAGTTTCAGAACGCATTGATATCGGATTTGACGATATTGATGCAATATACGTTTCAATATCTATATACGATTTGTATCGCCCTCTCCTACTATGCTTCAGGAAGGACATTAACAGAGATCAGTGGCAATACGAGTTGGTGTGTCACCATGCGCTATCCGTAACCTGTGGGAACGCTGCCAAGAGACTGGTAGTGTTGCTAGGAGAGCGGGAATAGGAAGAACTCGAGTTACCACCGACTAGGAAAACCGTTATATACGATTGACTGTACGTCGAGAGCGTAAAATAATCGCTCGTACCTTACAAAATCGTTTACGCCAATCTACTGGCACACGAATAAGTGATCAAATCATTCGGAATAGACTTCATGAGGATGGCCAACGATCCAGAATGTGAGTAATCCGGCTTAAGTTGACAAGGGCACACCGTGCAGCACGGTTAAGATTTGCTCGCGAACACTTAAATGGGACCATGGACAACTGGAGGACAGTACTGTTTACAGACGAATCTAAAGTGAAGTTTTTAGTGACGA